GCTTTTTGTCGTTTCTATACAATAGTCATCAAGTGATTCAGTATTGATAACATTCTTATACACTTAGTGATATTGTGTTTGTTATGCCATGGTAATAAAAAATTACAACGTTTCCGTAAGAGACGGCGTGCTCGTGGTATGAGTGAAATACCTGTTAACAAGACGATCGAAGCACGAATGCATGAAAAAGAAAAGCGGCAAAAAATCAAAAAAAAACAACAGAAAATTACTGCTTCGACCGCAATGTAACCGATGGAAATAATTGTATCGAGAATAACAAACACAATATCACTAAGTGTATAAGAATGTTATCAATACTGAATCACTTGATGACTATTGTATAGAAACGACAAAAAGCCGACAATCAAATCAAACAACTGGCTACGTCAAAGAGATGTTTAATTACAAGAGCCTTTGGTTCCAGCTAGTCAAATAACCATTCAACCATCATCAGCTAAAAAATGAAAACAACTACTTTTATTCAGTCAATACCATTGGATAGCATTAGTGCTAACATGAATTATCCGTTCGTACTTGATTCATTCTATTTCTTCTATATCAGACCATCATCGCACTTGATTCAATCACAATATTTTATTTTTCAAGCTCTTTGTCGACAGCTCAATTATTCACTAAACAAAAAAGATGAACAAATCTTTGCTCATTTATGACTACAATTATTCAATCGACAATATCGTCTTAATATCGATCGACACTTATGGTAACCCTATCTGGATCTTGGCTGTCAAGAAAAGATATGGCTAGTAAGGTTTTTTTCATGCCAATTATTCTTAATTAAATGAGCTTATTTCATTCATTGGAGAATCAATTATATCTGATGGCTAAGATTGATCGACCTAAGATCTGTAAGCAATTAGCCATGAGACAATTAACCAATATAAAACATCAATTGGATCAATGCAGCATGGAACTGACCAGACAAACGCAATCGTCAATATCGATCTCGTTACCATTTATAGAGATTTTAGATAGTTGCTTGAAAGAATATGTTTGTTTACAGCAAAATTATTTATTCAAACGCATCAGTAATCAATTGAACTGATTTGCTTATGAATATGTGTGGATGATGGTTAACACTGGAACGAATGAATGTCGTCTTGGTGGGTTTCAATCGAGTTTATATCATCTTGCTACTTGGTTGCGCTTTTTCGCACTGTCTCTGAAATTACTTCCGTTTCATCAGGCTTCGAATGTGTTTCTTACTCACTACCTTCTTATTACGCATTTTTTGTTAGCTAGACGAGCAGACAAATATCAGAAAGAAAATTGTTTCTAACTAGTATCTACGAAACTAAAAACCATGACTGGATTCCGTGTGGATTATATACCACACAATAGGTTATCAAGATGTATCTTGCCTGTTGTTAGAAAAATATTTTTCTAAAAAACTCCAATTTTGTGTTTTTTTAAAAGTCATCGATTTTGTAGTTCATCTTTTTCGGAGACAAACCAACGTAACAAAATATTTTTTTACCGCTCGATAGCTTATGGCGTTCGCTACAAGACATCTCCCCAAAGTTTTTAAATTTCATGCTTTCTTAATTTTTTGCCATCGATCTACAAATGATCACTCCAGTGATCAAAGAGGGTAAAGGGTTAAGGACTTTTAGACAACTTTCGTTTTTTCCGAACTTCTCAACCGAGATTTTTGCGGAAAAATGAAAGTTGTCTAAAAATCCTTAAACACATATCAGTCGATTCAATTTGCGATGCTGATTTCAAATATGACATTAGTTTTACAGAAAAATGGAAGTTTGAGAGTGAAAACGACAAAATTTAAGTGAATCTGCTTTGTTTTTTGCTACCTGTTTCAAAACAATTACTTTTCTTAACAACGGAGCACTATTTCCCAAAAGCGATGCTTAGCTTTTTCGTGCTATTATGGCGAGTGAAATGATATACAAGTATTGGCTTCATCTCGTATCTAGAGAGACTTGAAGCTTTTCGCGTCAATATGAACGGGATTTTGGCTATTTGTGAAAAACTAAACCTTTTTAGATGATATTATACTTGAATAGTATCGAAACGCTGTTTTTCAGATTCTGTCTTTTACGGAGAGCAAGAATACAAAGCTTCTAAGATTCCCAAATACATTGTGTTCGAGTTTTACGTTCGTTTTTAAAAATTAAGCTGTTTTTTAAAATTTTCGACATTAAAATTTTGATCTGGAAGATTAAAACACATATACTCTTGTTCAGCTCGCCGAGCTCTTTCAAACCATGTATAAAAGTCACAAAAATAAAAGCCGTGGAAGTTTTGAATTTCCTCAACCTTACAATGGCGCTGCAATCCCCTTACAATCTAAGTCGGAGCAAGATGCTACGAGAAAAAAAGAGATAGAATTTGGAACAAAGTAGCTAAACCCCCTTTAGGATTTTTTGGATCTGTCTTTATTCAGTCGAGTCTGACAACAGCAAAGCCTGGAAAGTTTATCTCAGTGTCATCATCATCACTAGTCAGAAATGTCTTGTGTAAAGATACAATAGAAGAAGAATTTTGAAACAAACAGAATTTTAGACTGTCCAGATTACCACGCTAGCCTTCGATATTGTAACAAATAATGTTTAAAGGTACATAATCAGAAGCAAGAAAAGTAGAAGATAGGGAATAGCTACATACTTTTTTGCAGTTCTTTTGTATCACATGAATTTAAATGTATACCATCACGTAACGGCATATTTTCATCAAAAGCAACGTTAATTACATCAATATCATCATATAACGCCAACAACCGACTGTTATATTCGTCGTTATCAGCTCTAACCTGATCAACTGATGATTTCGAACCCAGAATACCTAAAAGTGGCAATGTCGTAAGAATTAATTTTGTATCCGGATATGCTTCTTTAAATTGACGAATTAAATTTGCTGTTTTATCTAATGCCACATCTGGATTGTACCAATACTCATTATTAAACCTTGTGATTCATATGTACTTGAAGATTAAATAACCTACCATTTAACATAAAGCTTCCTTGCTCAAGACTACGCTTAATATTAGCGTTACTTACAATAATAGGAATAAGTCGTGCTGGTGTTTGACTAACTGTCAATATATGATTTGAGTCTGATTTTGTAGTGCCGATGTGTTGTTTCCATTTAGAATAGTATCCATAAAAGTTCAAGGATAGCCTAGAGACTTTGTTTTTGTAATTAGAGACTTGTTTACATGTGTTTGAGTTCTTGATTTTGATAGATCTTCAGGTAACAGTTGAATATTAGCTGAGTTTACTGAAGTCTGTTGGTGCATACACATTGTCGTGATCAAAAGATCATGTTGATTAATTAAATTTTTCCACCAACTATTATCGGATAAATACTGCCATCTGTTGTAAGGGTACTAGTAACCGATGAATCAACATCATCCAAAGCTTTCAAAAGTGAACTAATAAGTAAGTACAAATCACCCTTTGATAATGTTTTCAAATCAGCATTGGGCTTGTTAATTGAATTTAAAAATGTTGAAAATATCAGTTGTGACTTACCATGATAAAGGATAACTAAATTATTATGATAAGCAAACAACCAGCCAATAAAGCATCGATGGTAAAAAATGGATAAACTTTTACTTATTTTGAGTAATATAATTGAATACTAATCGTAATTGCACAGATAAACAAATATATATCCCAAAGAGGGTAAAGGGCGATATAGCAACGAAAATTGATCACAAAGCGTCAAAAATATTACAAACGAACACCGAAATGGCGCTTCAAAAGAAAAATAAAGCTAATAGCACTGAGGAGAAAATATAGCGTTACGATCAAAACATAATGAAGTCACTTCTCTGTCACCCGATATATCCCCCGAAACACATCAAAACAAAACTACAGTCCATCACCGTACTATTTATCTAACTCCGAGGTGTTCCATAGCACCAGACGACATCTCATTTTCGTCTCATGAAGGTTCCCCTGACGACGACGAGGTCACCAACAGCTGAATCGATGATTATGTAGCTAGTGAAGAATGCCAACCAGGACACTATCCATCTATTTTCTAGATGTTGCATAGCACCAGATGACATTTCACCTCCGTCACAGTAATGGTCCTCTCACGACGACGAGATGATAAAAACTGAGTCGATTATTATTCAGCTAGTGACGTTTGCCAACCAGGAGAATTTTCATTTATCTTATAGATGCTGCATTGCAGCAGATGACGTCTCACCTTGCTCGCAGGAAAGCTCCCTTGACGAGGGTGAGGTCCTCACCAACTGAATCGATGATGATGCAGCTAGTGAAGAATGTCAACGAAGATTATACTATTCATCTATCTCCTAAATGTTCCATTGTGCCAGATGACATTTCACTTGCGTCACAACAATGCTCATCTGACGAGGACGAAGTCAACAATAACTGATCAATGTAGATGCAGCAGGTGAAGAATACTAACCAGGGTACTATTCATCTATCTCGTAGAAGTCCCATAGCACATGATGGCGTTTTACCTTGGTCACAGCAATGCGCCTCCGACGACGATGAGATCACCAAGAATTGGCTCAATAATCATACGGCTAGTGAAGAATGCCAACCATCACAATCAAGATTATACTATTCGTCTATCTCCTATATAAGCATGGTATCAGATGACATTTCACTTTCGTCACAGCACTGTTCCTCTGAACACGTTGAGATCACAAAGATTTGATTGAATGATGATGCAGCTACTGAAAAATGCAAATAACGATACTGTTCGTCTATCTCCTAGATGTTCCATTACAGCAGATGACATTTTACAATCGTCACAGCAATGCTCATCTGATGACGACGAGGTCACGAACAACTAAATCAATGCTGATGCAACTAGTGTAGAATGCCAACCATTATTAGACTATTCACCTATGTCCCAGATGGTCCATGGTACCACATGACGTTTCACTTGCGTCACAGCGATGCTCCCCTGACGAGGACGAAGTCTCCAACAACTGGAACAATTATGATTCAGCTACTGAAGAATGCCAACCAGGAGACTATTCATCTATCTCCTAGAAGTCCCATAGCACAAGATGACGTTTTACCTTGGTCACAGCAATGCATCTTCGACAACGACGAGTTCATCAAAAATTGAATCAGTTTACGATGCAGCAAGTGAAGAATACAAATAATAACCACTATAACGATAGTAACCATCTATCTCCTAGATGTTCCATGGCACCAGATAACATTTCATTTTCGTCACAGCAATGCTCTTATCACGATGACGAACTGAATCAATTTTGATGTAGCTAGTGAAGAACGCAAATAACGATACTGTTAGTCTATCTCCGGGGTGTGCCGTGGCACCAGATGACATTCCACTTTCGGCACAGCAATGCTCAGCTGACGTCAGGGCGGTTGACACCAGCGGCATGAATTATGGCCGGTGTGCTGTATATTTGTTATGCCGTAGTTCCAAATAAATAGAGGTTTTGATTGGTTTTTTCTTAACTTCGTTGATTATGAATAGCGTTCCTGGGGGAAGTAGGACTTCTTCTTCGTCGTAATGGGAAAGTGACGATATGTCTAAGCCACCGATTGCGGTCGTGTCGATAATGAATAAGGTATTGCCGAATTTTTCCGCTTTTTGACGGTTTCTGCTAGTTGAGGTAAAGCCGTCCCAGCTTCTTTTCTCGCCAATCGCTTCCTCATACGATTTAAGCAGGTTCTGGTCGATGTTTACACCTCGATAGAGTTCGGCTTTATATTTCGTGTCTGTTTTCAACCAGCTTCTGAATAAAATGTAGCAAAATGGGCCTAGAGTGTTTATTTTGTTTGTGTCGTTTTCTCTCAGTGCTTTATTTATTAGTTTGTACAGAAAGGACTCCATTGTGTATAGCTGAATGCAACATTTGTAGATCTCTTCTTTGTCCTTGTTTTCCACGGCTATCAGTTGGCGAGCTATAAATTCTGACTCACAATGTTGACCTAGTTGTTTTCCTTCGATAATTATTCCATTCGCTGCCTGCTTCACTATTTCAGCGTCAGAAGGTTTATTACCGTTCTTCCATTCTGAAAGGAAAGTATAAGCGTCTTTGCCCGAGTCATCACTGAACGTTTTACTCAATGTTGGCGGAAGAAAGAATCTTTCTTCTCTTAAACCTTGACTTTCATTCCTACTAATTAGAACTCGCTTTATTGGCCGTTGTTTATTTGGATCCGATTTACTGATTTGAATGGAATCGTTTAAGTTAATCGAATAATTATCCAGTTCAACTAGTTTTGTTTTATTTTTTCCTATAAATGCTTGTTCGATAATCGCTGATTCGATATCAGAATATTTTGTCCATTCTTCTTTTCCATTTGTTGACCATGGATCAGAATTCGATTTCCAATACCATTGAAATCGTGGTTGATCAGCTGCTTTTATCGCTTGACTTGCCATTGATTAGACTGTTCGGAACTGATGGATCATAGAAATGTCCGTGGATCTAGAAAAGACACTGGACAAGTAGCAGAATATTCTGTAATTAAAGAAATACTTGTTCATCTATTCAAGACTAAATTTTTCTTCAGTTCATCGGGAAAAAACTGGCTTGTAAAAACCAGCTGAATCAGTTAAGAGACGTTCTGTTAGTTCAAACTCTGTGTGAGAAATGCAGTTTTGAATATTTTCATTGTAAAGAACCTTCCAAACTATTTTGATTTTTCTCGATTTTTTCCTGAGGATAGTTTATCGACTGGAATTCTCTACATGTATGTAAATGCTACTAATATACTACTTACGAAAACATAGTACCGAAGGATATACTGTCACAGCGATTTTCATCTGTCTTATAGCACTTACGTAGTGGTTCTAAGTGTATGATATTTCAGTAGGATTTAACGACTGACGAAACAGGCGATTCTACCTCACGATGAAATAGTCTGATAGGTAAAATGTTAATTATCCTTTTCTTATGGATAATGTAACATATATTTTCGTTTGCAGTGTTTATTTTTCAATTTTCTTTGCATATTTTATGGTTGAGTTCAATAATAATGAATATTTGATGCGTGCGGAAGAGAAAACGTATAGCTTTCATTCTAAAATGGTGTTATATGAACAGTTTGACGTGCTAAAATAAGATACATCTGAAAGTACACTTTTTGCTCTATTGTTCCTAAAACTACAGATGTAGAATAACCACATGAAAAGTGTTTGTAAAAAAAGCTATATTACACCATCGAAATGAGAATAAGTGAATCTTAACTCGATAATGATTTAAAGAGAAAACGAGTATTTATGTTTCTTGTAAGTTTTTCATTTCTTTTTGGTCTCATTCATGAAATTTGACACATGTTTCAATCTATGCTTATTTATGCTGTATGCTGTTATTTTTCTTTTCTCTTTCAAAACAAAGAGAGTGGATAAAATCTTGTTGAAATCAAAAAAACATTCTATGAAAAGAACGAGAAACACAAAAGTCGTAATGATGAATGAATATTAAAGAATCTTTTTTCTCAAAAAACGGCCTTGTCAGAAACCCATCTCTGAAAGTATAAGTCGGATCTTGACGTGCTCATTTGAACTGCACCTAACGAACGCCCAAAAAAACTGTGCCAAATTCAGCTTCGTGTTGCTCGAAGCCTATTAGTACTATTTTTATTAACCAGAAAAAAAACATCTTTAATGATTTTTAAGAACATTCAGCCTTTTAGACATGACATAAAGACAACTAAATAACTCCAATTCAAAGTTCAGAAAACAAAAAAGAGTATGTTCCAGACAAGTTGTTGCACTTATCAAAAACATGGTTTCATATACCATGCCAGTCAAGGGGGAAAGCACGGAATCCTGGAACCTCACGGAATCCAATGGAATTCAACGGAATCTCATAGAATCTCGCAGAATCCAATGGAATCCAATGGAATCCTGGAATCCAAAGGAATCCTAGAGAATCCTAAGGAATTCCAATCTAGAGGAGTTCTAAGGAAGCGAAGAGAATCCTATGGAATCCTTCAGAATCCTTAGGAATCCTAGAGAATCTTAAGAAATCCTAGAGAATCCTTGGAATCCTAAGGAATCCTAGAGAATCCTTGGAATCCTAAGGAATCCTAGAGAATCCTAAGGAATCCTAGATAATCTTAGAGAATCCTTGGAATCCCAAAGAATCATAGGGAATCCTTGGAATCCAGGGGAATTCAGGATTCCAGGATTCCGTGCTTTCCCCCTTGATGCCAGTACATACATTTGCATTGACTGATGATTATCTGATAAATTACTATACAGATTAATATATAGTCCTGTGCAAAATTATAGAGACGATTTGTTTTTTGATTTTTTTGCTTTACCGTAATAGAGAGAACAAATCTGAAAAGTGATTTGAATAACTGAAAGAGTTTCTAATCAGACGAGGTGTATATTAAAATTTTATTAAAATTCCTGTAAACCAGATCGGTGGAAACTAAGATTTTAAAAAACCAAAGCATCAAGTTCCAGGATTAGAACGGAAACCTTTTATAAACAGTTCATTCGTGTAGAATACACATTTTTAAACACAACTAGACGTCGTCGAACTCACCACAACGCTTTCTCGAGTTCGACGACGTCTAGTTATAAGTTGCTGGAGACTTAAAAAAGTGGACCGTATAAGACGTGTAAGTTCTTTCTGACACAAGAAAATGTTTGTTGTTCTATTTAAATATTTGTTTCGCCTTAAGACTCAACTTTCTTTAAGCATAAATAATAAAAATCAGGTAGATGATAGATATTCTATATAACAACAACCAGTAATTTAGCATCGATTTTTTATTTGTCTATTTAAACGAATATCAAAAGACGTAAAGCTTCGACTGTGTATTGATGACTGCTTTTTAATTACACTTTGCACGTAGACTGATTTAAAAGCTCATTTCTTTTCTTGAAAACAGTAAACGATTTTGGAATTAGAAAGAGCTTACACAACCTATATTTCAACACATTCCGATAACCTAGCGCCGCTTACATCCTTGGCGATCGGCTGAAATTCAAATTTACGAGAAATTTTCAGATGTATAATATCAGACATTTTCTTGTTTATAATCTTACACTCTTCTATTAGGTCGGCAACAAAGTTTTTGCGTTTTTTCTTTCCTCCATCTTTAGAAAAAACGCATAAAATTTTGTGCCAACCTAATGTGTATATTTCATATAAATGCGTATACACTAGAGGAGTTTCAGTTCACGGTGTGATCAAAAGTATGTGATTTAGTTCTCACGGTTTTAAAAAAAACGATTTTTTTTTTACATTTTTCATGTTTGGGTATGTGATCATTTCCAGTTTCATGTGTTTTATAAATTAATCTATGCTGATGTAATTTCCAGTCTAGAGTTTGACATTCTTTTGAACAATAACGTGCCAATTATGGCTTCTCTGACTATGATGTTCCGAAAAATGATCAAGAAAGTTATGTTTGTCATTCCAAATTCGTGCAATTTCTATCTCTACATTTTACTAACTTTAGTCTGTGATACTGAGATCTCTATAACTTAAAAACTAAAAGAGACCTTTTTCCAAAAATTGCTTGGCACAGAGTACAAGTTGTGTACCATAAACTGGCAGAAAAACTGGAGAAGGGTACCTTCGAATTTGTTAGCTTTTTAATCTGGGAAGTTGCCAGAATAAACACTAATTTCATAGTGAAGGGAATCTTTCTTTTGAATAAAACGATAAAATTGATTGTTTTCTCCATTTCTTGCTTTATATCTGTGTCTCTATAGTATGCATAGAAAGAAGAAAACAAGCTGACCTAGCGCATGGATTATATAGACATGAATGTTTCGTTATATAATGATGAATATAACGGTAATGGATGAGTAGTTATTGTTCATCATTTGACACTCTTATTCGTTGATTATAAATAGCTTAAAAAATAATTATCAATAGCTACTAATATATTATCGATAGAGGCGTCCGACTCAACCTACATTAAAGTATCATTAATAAATTGTCGCCAGAATCGGACTCCATTATTATACAATGCGTCATGTAATGACTGTTTTACATGAGCCATGAAGATTCTATGTTACTTATTATTAATGATCTTTAACATGTTAATATGTATATCCTCTGTTAATTTTCGATGAAATGGATTTTTAATAAGTCACATAGAATAATTTAATATTAGGTTATTAGGTTTCAAAACAGATTATTATGATTATGATATGAAAGCTGAAGGTGATATTGTCACCTATAATCTAAATATAGCTCAAATAAGCGGTACGCTAAAACAACGGCGTATTACAAATAAATTTATACATCGTTCAAGTACGAAATATATAACAGAGCTCCGCACGGACTAGACTGGACTCAAACTTTCAAGACCATGGACTGATCTGGACCCATAGAATATTTTGCATTCACTTGAATCGAGGAATAATCGTTAAAAGAGAAGTTATTTCTGTATTGCGGACTAGAATTAACTACTTTTCTTACAGTCCATGGACTGAAAAGACTATTTCATGGACTCAGATTGGAAATATGGAGTAAAATATGAAGATATACTAAAAAATCTAGCGAGTGATAAATCAATTACCATTTACAAGCCGGATAAAGGTAGACACATTGTAATCCCAGATAAAACCAAATATACTGAAAAAATGAATGATATTATAAATGATACAAATATGTTTCAAAAAACTACATCTGAACCCACTATTAGTCAAAAAGATAAACTCACACGGTTGTGGAGAAGTTTACATTATAGAACATTTATTACTGAGAATGAATGCAAGCTGGCTAGATCTTGTGGATCACCATTTGCAAGATTGTATGGATTCCCGAAGGTTCACAAACCGGATAGGCCTATAAGACCAGTTTTCCCGTCCGTCAGAAGTTTCAACTACTATCTTGATCGATAGTCAGATCAATAGTCAGATCATTTACGAACTAGTCCAAGTGTGATCAATGACTCAATAGAATTCATTAATCTAGTTAAGCCTTTTCCCAAGTTAAATCTAAAATTAAAAATGGATTTACAAACGCATCATTGATTTTTACGATAGAATATATTATTCAGCAGTTAAATGGCACATGTGAGTTATTCTATATGAATGGGAGAAAGAATAACGGTACAATATGTGAGAAATATAACGACAGAAAAGATTTTCGTACTCTATTTGAATTAGCTCCTTCTGGGACATATTTCATACTCAAGAATCAGTTATATAAACAAATTGATGGATTCACTATTTTTTTTAAGAATCCACTACAATGAGCTATATTGTACGTTTCAACTTCAAAGTTTTCAACTGATTTTATTGTATTACATCAGACGAATGCGTTAGACAATTTTTAGTTTTATTATTATTAATGGCCGATACAACGTGTTTATACTGATTAATAAATTGATAACGGTCTTTAGTTTTTTGAGCAATGGATGCTATTCTATGCGAAACGGTTGATGAGTGCTGAAAAAAGCTATTTTGAATATAAAAGAGACATTTGTTCCTCCTATGAGATTCCGTTAGTAAACCTTTTCTCGTTATTATATATTTTCTCCATATCGTATGTTTATCTTGTCTGACGTAATTTTAATAATACTCATTATGTAGAAATACAGTCAGATATACTGAAAACTCCTAGATTTTTGGAACGAGTTTCACAAGTAATGCAAAGATGTTAACGTTTCAGCTACATTGTTGGAATTACTCGTTGTGTTCATTCTGGTGAATCGATAATTGGAATTGGCACTGTTTTCAGCGCAAATTCTTTTGCCGAAGTAGGCAGAGGCGGCGGAACCATGGGAGCCGTAGGTACTTTAGTATCCATAGATTGTGAAAATTTTCCTTTTCTTCCAGCAGAAGTTTATTTTTCCTTTATATTCGTGTCCTTGAGTACCCATCGTTTCAAAATCATTCAGCCGCCTCTGACAGTAAGTTAGCTATTGTATGGTGTACATCAAAAAAACTAACATGTTTTCTTTAAACGATTTTATTGGTGTTAAGATCCAAAGCGAAAGGTCCCACTTGTTATCAATTTACAGTTCTATTTGCTACAAGAATATTTTAAATTGGTGCACTTATCATATATATATAATAAATATTTTTCAAAGAAATTTTCTGCTAGATTGTGGTTTGTTATCGTTTACCATGCAAAGAGAGTGTGTGTGCTATATACAAAAGGAGAGCGAAGCGAATCTTTTCAAAATTATTCGATAGTAAGGAGTCAAATGATTTTTCGAAAAAATATTCGATGTAGCCATAATAGAAGGTCATAACCTTATACTCTGGTTAAGGGATTAATATAGTACAAGAACGTTTCTCAAACTGTTCACCATTCAACCAAACTAACAGTAACTAATAATTATAATCACAGCATATATACAGGTTCTAAAATGCTTTACACATCTTTACTTCATGTGCATACTCTAAAGTCTATATGTATTATCCTTCAATTAGAAGATATATCTTGTTATGAGTATCATAATATCGTTTCTTTCAGCGATGATAATGTCCATAATACGAAGGAGAAAAGAAAACGAAAGAGATGATAACCAAATTTTATATCCAAATAAGGAGATGTATTCATATGTACAACTTCCAACAAGTTATCAGAATAGAAAAAAAAAAGAAGAAAAAACACATAGAAATACAATTATGAATTTCAACATCCTGATATTGCCTGTGCTTTACGCAACCCACTAACAGAATAAATGATGGCATAGAAAAAAAAAAATGCAAAAACTTTGTATACGTTTTTCTTGTACGTATATATTATTTCCATATTGAGAAGTTGTTTTACTTCTTTCTTCCTAGTAATTGACTTATCTATAGTTTCTCTACATGATGACAGGAGTGTGTTATTCTGTCTAAAAAGTACAGAGAAAATCCTAGAAAAAAATAGCAAAGAAATAACCGTATATAAATAGAGATATACTTACTATTCATCTACTACGATTGTCGGTTAAAAAAGAAATCATCAACATCATCTCATAACTACACAGTTTTTTTAAGTAATCCTAACAAAATAAGATAAAATGGCGGACGAAGACGTAGCAGCAATTGTCATCGACAATGGTTCCGGTACGTATTAAATCAAATTTTTATACATAACCTTCATGCTTTCAAAGTCAAAGTAGAAACCGTTGTATGCAGATTTAGTTTTAAAAAACTATAATGAAAAATTGTTGACTTATATTCTTAAAGAATAAAAGTTATATCGACACAGCATTTATTGTTTTCTTTTTCAAATACTATGGAGCTTAATTGACTTCAGTGGTTTTACCAACAAATATCAATTGAAGATTAAGTATACACATGTTAGCTTTTAACATCAGGGAAACGATAGGGGTGGGCTCACAAATGCGCTTGAAAAACTAAAAAAGTTCTGCATTCTTATATAAGAGCACGACGAATATACGACTAAAAGATGGCCTGTTACTTTTGAAGCCTAGGCAAGGTATAGTTAGCAAAAAATATATTTTGGTTTACTATATAAACTAAATAAGTTCTATCAAACTAGAATTTTATGAACTAATAAGTAGCTCTTTTTTATTATAAATTACACGTTCTTCCATTTTCTTCAGGAATGTGTAAAGCTGGATTTGCTGGAGATGATGCTCCTCGATCTGTCTTTCGTAAGTAATTGAATGTTAGCAACTTTGGTTCTTGATGCTTTATCGTATAATTTAACTATTCCAGCCAGTGTTGTCGGTCGTCCTCGTCATCAGGCAGTTATGGTTGGTATGGGTCAAAAAGACTCGTATGTAGGTGATGAAGCTCAATCAAAACGTGGTATCCTCACATTAAAATATCCAATTGAGCACGGTATCATCACCAATTGGGATGATATTGAAAAAATCTGGCATCACACATTTTACAATGAATTGCGTGTTGCACCAGAAGAACATCCAGTCTTATTAACCGAAGCTCCTTTAAACCCAAAGGCCAATCGTGAAAAAATGACACAAATTATGTTTGAAACATTCAACTCACCTGGTATGTTCTCACTATTGTAGAATCCATTACTGTGTAATATTTATAATTTGGTAATTTCAGCAATGTATGTTGCTATCCAGGCTGTATTATCATTATACGCTAGCGGTCGAACAACTGGTATTGTTTTGGATTCTGGTGATGGTGTGACACACGACGTACCAATCTATGAAGTAATTATACTTTAATCAGTTGAATTACAACTACTGTTAAGTCTCTATTTAGGGTTATGCATTACCACATGCCATCCTTCGTTTGGATTTGGCTGGTCGTGATTTGACCGATTATTTAATGAAAATTTTGACTGAACGTGGTTATTCGTTCGTGACAACAGCTGAAAGAGAGATTGTTCGTGATGTCAAAGAAAAACTGTGCTATGTTGCATTGGACTTTGAACAGGAAATGGCAACAGCTGCATCAACATCATCATTGGAAAAATCATACGAATTACCTGATGGTCAAGTTATCACTGTTGGAAATGAACGTTTCCGTTGCCCCGAAAGTTTATTTCAACCATCCTTCTTGGGAATGGAAGTTGCAGGTTAGCATTATCATATCAACTCAAGACTTGCCAAAAAAATACTGTTTTTATTCTCTGTACAGGTATCCATGAAACAACATTCAATTCAATAATGAAATGTGATATTGATATCCGTAAAGATCTTTATGCTAACACCGTTTTATCTGGTGGTATGTATTCTTCGACAATATGTCGACTCAAACTGATCCGAAAATTTTATTTTAGGTACATCAATGTATCCTGGTATCGCTGATCGTATGCAAAAAGAAATAACAGCATTGGCACCATCGACAATGAAAATTAAAATCATCGCACCACCTGAACGTAAATATTCAGTATGGATTGGTGGAAGTATTCTAGCATCATTGTCAACATTTCAACAAATGTGGATTAGCAAACAAGAATATGATGAAGCTGGACCGTCGATTGTCCACAGAAAATGCTTTTAAACAATTGTTTGTTATTGTGTATTTAACGGCAATAACATTATTAGTAGTGAATGGACATGAAAAACAGCAGTCATCAGTAACACTGGATAATGAAATATCGGAGGTCTTCTTAGTTTTATTTTTAATATGAAATTCAGGTTTTTTCTGCTTTTTTTTTCTCCCTTTTTTTACAATGAAACTTGGATAGTGCTATGGTGCTATATTTTTCTTTCGTTTTTCTTTGTTTTTGAGTAAAATCATATAGAACCCCAAAATATAAATCTTACAAAGATCGAATGGATCCTGTTCGGATAATGCTGTATATGATATATGTAGAGAGCAAGCCCTGAATTTTATTCGTCTGATATTTCATCTTATGGTCAAAGACTACTGTCTGTACCGTATGTACCCACCGCATAATTACAGTTTTATATTTCCAATACCATAGTTTTTCACATTTATTAGATCTAATTTCAACAGCAGGATTTTTATCACATTTTATGTATAAGGTAATTCTAGATGATAAGGATTTAGTCTAGGTTCGTGAAACGAAAATTCGAACAAATCTTCTAGTTTACTATGTACTTAAGAAAAGAGGATCTTTTTTCATACATACATGCAGCTCAGCTTAAAGTTTGGAAAATTAATATTTTCCGTTGTTTTATTTGATCGTACTGATATATTTGCCTAACAAAGAAAGATGATACAACTCCAAACATATTCTTAGTTAGGATTAAAAAAATATGTTTATCCATATATGTAATCGATCATTCACTGAGTATAGCGAATCTATTAGATGAAATCAGAAGTCTCATATATATTGTTTATAGATAAATATTTTATAATCTGACAATCAACCCTTACACACTTCCATAACGGAATAAATCTTTTGAAGGTTAGTACTGTTCGAGTAATAGAGATGTCACTGATGAGTTTAAAATGACTTTTTCAACAGTTTAACATTTATAAATGATTATTTACAAACATCTTGATTTATAAACGACTTTCCGCTGAAAAAATAGGTGAAAATTGTGAAGTTTTAAATGATTTTTAAATTACCTATTTATAAACTCATCAGTGAGAGATGTCATTATACGGAAACCGTGTGTATTAACTGAACAGACAGGCTCTGAAGGCAGAGTACGGATCATCTGTGTATTCATCTAATCCGTACATACATATATAATTTACCATATATATATCATATTGAAGTTAGCATGTTTATCGAAGTTGTAACTTCTGTATACATACTTCTTCGAACTTTTAACTTCGATGAAGTCGTTTATCACAGTTGTTCTGCTTTAGCTAAACAGTCTCATTTACAATCACATTTTAACACTGCTTGCCCATCAGTAATAGTTTTAAATCTGGCTACTTTTCTTAATGATTATTGTATATCTTTTTAATATCTTGGGTAAATAGCGTTGACAAACATGAGGCTGTAGATATCTGATGAAATTTTTTTTTGTTTTTGATCGATTGATGTAAATTTATTTTGTAAAAAAAAAGGAAGAAAAATTCTGTTTTGCTACAAAACAGGGAAAATAGAAGAAGAATTATTACTTATGAAAATTTTGAGAAGAAACTGTACTGCCATCACAAAAACAGAAAAAAATGAAAAAGTAACCTAACAAAGCATCATTTCCTGTACCTAATTTATCTTTATCATATTTAATTTCCATTACAACAGCTAATACATTAAGTGTATCTATTAGAACACAGTCATCATCAAACACTGGTACCAATTGAACGAACAATTTTCAGTGTTAAAATGACTAGAGAAGGTTCAGTTTTAAAATACTTGCAGCATTGACCCCAACATTCAAACTAAATAACCCTTGTTTTTTATATGTATCTTGTAAAAAATTATCAACTTGACGTTTTTGATTTGTTCGATGAATTAAATAGAATAGAAAAAAATTAGGTGCAGGAAATTATAGTGCTTTATTAGGTTATTATCGTTTTCATAAAATATCTATAGCATCAGGTTTGCCAACAATATTTACCCAAGATATTACAAAGACATACAAAAATCATTAAAAGAAATAGACACATTTAAAAGTATTACTGATGGGCAAGCAGTGTTAAAATGTGATTGTAAATGGGACTGTTTAGCCGAATCAAAACAACTTCGATGAGCCACTTCGTCGAAGTTACAGGTTCGATAACCAGGCTAACTTCAGTGACATATACATACAGATATGTTCTGACTTATACATCACTATGGCTGCATTGACGTACGTGTCTATTTATAATAACATGGGATTCCCAGATTCTGAGATTTCACTCGATGCTTCGATAGCTGTAATTTGAGTTTAAATTTTACAGCTTTGGAGGTTGGGGAGGAAGAGTGCTGTAGAATTGTGCAGCACTGCAGAATTCAACTACACATTCAACTCTATACTGTAACTAAGATTCTGTTCGAAATCTGGTTGAATTCTGGTAGAATTGAACCACCGGGAGGTGGGAGGGAACATGAGAGTGAGTACTGATAGCTTGAATTCTGCTGAATTCTGGTAGAATTGCGCCAGATTGTGTCAGAATTACAGCAGAACTGAGCAGAATCTAGCAATTCGTAGAGAGAATCTAAATGTGAACTAATATAACTCGTAGAACTAGAATTGGAATTCTACCAGAATCCGAACAGAATCTTAACTACAGTATATATTTGAATATGCAGTTGAATTCTGCAGTTCTGTAGAATTCTGCCGGAATTTCCACTGAACTGTAGAATTTGGCACCACTCGTATGTACAGGTTTGTACATAACTAGCAATTCTGGAGTCCATATAGACGAAAGAAAATTGGATGCATTCTGTATGTATTATAGCGGCAGTCAAAAGTAAAAATACGGTCGTTTACCATGTTTTTTTTCTATATAATATTTTACTGTCGCTAAATTTCTCGAGGTCAATCTTTAAAATTGAAAATAATGAGATGCTGCACTGCAGAGAAAAGGTGCACAAATTAATAAAAATTTCAGTCACTAAATAAAGAACATAGTAACTACAGTCTTGAGTTAAATACTATTCAGAAGAATAAATGTGCCGGTTCGATTGTGATTGATTTTCATACCTTATTCACGTTATGTTTCACAATCCAGCCCTACAAGACTGTATTCCATATATATGACCAAAACTTTTATGGAACAATAAAATATTGTAAAATTGACGTTCTGAAGAATTTCGATTCCAGTACGCAGTTCGACGAATTAATCTGTGTTCCCAAATCGAGTAGTTGAAAAGCAGTTGATACTGTCAAGTTACTACTGGAAACTGTCTGGAAGTGTTGAACGTTTTTTCACTGGACTGAACGTTCGCTTTTACCTGTATTTACACATTCTCACTTGATTTCATCGAGTCATTGAATTATAGTTGATCAATCCAGAAGCCCCTTTGGTCAACAAAAGTGGAACAATAATGAAAGGACCCTGTACATTAAGGTTTGAAATCTGTCCACCCGTAACTTTGATATTTTGTTCTTATTATTTTATAGCTTAGTGTACAATAGTATACAAATTCAACATCGTCGACTCTCTATTCTTTCCTCTAAATTTCCTCTAAATTTTACTCGCATGTTTTAAACTGCATTTTTTTACTGGTTTGCCATAAGAAAAGGATAAAAAATTAAATAACCTTTAACTTCAAGGTTAGTGTTCAAGTATACAGCAATTTGAGACGAGAGGAAGGGAGAGAGTTAAATCGTCCTTCATTTTATTGTCACAATTTCAGCATCTTTCTCAGATAATGTACCGAATCTGAGACCCTCTCCTCGTTGTGTGAGCTCAGTTGAAAATATTGACTGTGCAAGATCTTCAAATAAAAATGTACAAAAGCGAGACATGCACCAAATGGTTTGATGTTTATCGTTACAATTTGTGAGTTTCCTCGGTGTAACATCGGTTTGCCGTTGGCGGCTTTCAGGATGTAGCAAGTATCAGTTTTGTCCTGTTTGATGCATCGAGGATTGGGTGCTAAGCTATACCGCCTCATTCACAGGATGCTCGATTGGTTCTAGCAACGAATTGATATTAGCGTCCAGTATTTACGGATACGCTTCTCTGGAAGCTCAAGCGTGAATGTTTTCTTCACATGCGGTAAACGTTACCTTATCGGTAAAACCCACAGCGAACCTTAAAAGACATCAACCTTTCTCACTTTTATTTTGAGATCAAATTCCAGTCACATTTCGAAGCAAACCTGAGAAATACGCGGAGCGAACTTCGTCAATCTGAGAGGAACATTTTTCTCGAACAAGCACATCACAGATTATACAAAAGTTACATTCAGCAGTGTAACAAAGATAACATGAAGATTCTAAAGAGTAGAGTGGATAGTAGAAAGTTAACATTGCTGTGTACTCACCTTGAACTGTCATGAACTTTCCAATGAAAATGATTTCTTTCCCTTTGTAGATAAAGATTATGGCATTGTGAGATTGCCAGATGATCGAGAAAGACTAAAAAACTGATTGCATCATGTTCTCGAAGAAGCAAAGCCGAGTACAACATGGTGTAATCAAGTCTAAAAAACGAAGCTACAGCTATTTACAAACCGGAAAATCGATAATGCATTACTTTCTTAAACTTTCTTGAGATTAGATATGTGCGAGACCGATATCGAGAGTCTCGAGATCGAAATCGATCCTAGGTCTCGAAGTATCGGTCTCGATTTCGGTACCGGTCTCGGTATCGATTCTTTGTTTCTACCGTTGTTATTTTCTGCGTACGTACTCATACAGAAAATTAAGAGCATTGTCTTTATGTCCTTACTGACACTGCTTTCTTTCACTTTTTGTGTTACTTTTGTTATACTGCTTTTTGACTATTCAGCAACGTATCGAAATTTCCTTCTCTTATTTGTAAATCGTAACGTATTGTTCCCCTGTTTGTCTGAGAACTAGACTTTAGATGGTAAATTAATCATACTATTTCTGCTTCGTAAATACAAATGTATTTCTCTGCAAGCTTTCGAACATTCGGATATTCACTCAAAATACAGAAAAAAAGAAGTTAAAACAAAAAAAGAAGAATTCTTTTCCCGTATTGTATACCGTTTGTTCAATAAAAGAAAAAAGAAACATTAAATGATCGTTTCGGCCCAAACGGTTCGGTGCCTGGATGTCATATCTTTGACATTCGACATATCTTGACGTTTGACGACGAGCGACGTCTGTCATTCATGAATACAACTTGAAGATGTGATTATAGTTATAAATCTGTTGATAAGGGAAAAGAAAGCAGTATGTTTTTAAAACTTGTTAGCACGAAAACTAAATAAGCCTTTTTCCTCTAAATTCCATGAAGGTTTGAAAAATATAGGCTTATTTTGAAAAGTTTTGCCTTTCGGCTGTCTAAATAGTATGTGTCTGCCTTTGAAAAAGAAGACAACTACAGTAGTTGTAAACTCACGTTATTTAGCTAACTTACAAATTGAACTTTCAGTACATCAGTAAAGCGACCATTTTGTTTAAAACGCATCATCGCTGGCACTAAACAAGAAAAATTAGTAGCAACAAGCTGTGTTTGCACAAAAGAAGGAAATGATAGCCTTTGTTGTAATAGAAATCGATACCGAGACCTGATGTCTCGATTTCGAGACCGATACTTCGATACCAGGTATCGAAAAATCGATACCGAAACCGGTATCAAAATCGAGCCCGATACCGAGAGCGATACCAGTCTCGGTATCGCACAAATCTACTTGAGATATGTACTTTGTTTTAGATATTTCTTCCCTCAGGCGCATGCTTCAAGCGTTTTGCATGAATAAGAAGTTCATGTGCATGGAGACAAATCTTGAGGTATGTGCTTGCTCAAGTGCTTGAAAAAAAAAGTTTCACAAGAGAAGTTCCTATGTGATGCAGCATCCGGGGTGCAGCTTAGCACAATGTGTTGAATCGGATGCGTCAACCGAGTATAATGGATTCAAAAGCATTCAAAATTTTGTTGTTATTGCATCTCTGCGCTGCGATGTCAAATCGTCGAACGCTGGTAGTGGTGAGGCGGGTCCTGCCAAGTGATGCTTAGCAAGTCCTGTGCGGCGGTGCGCAGGTCCGTGCCTGATCTTTTTTACGCTACCGCATCTGCCGCATCCAGGTTTTTGTAGAAATAACTATGAATGTACCGCGCATTACGTAAGATTCAATGTTCGAAGAGGAGATCGTGAACACAGTATTGGCTGCACTACTAATGCCGCATCATAATGGAATCAGTTAGTATAACTTATGGATTCCATTGTGATGTGACATCCTGGAGCAATGGAATTCATTGTGATACAGTTTTAGTTTTTTAAAATACTTTTTGGAAAGGTATTTTAAGAAAATAAAGGGTTTTTATTAATGTCACAAAACTCTACACAAGTATTCCGTTTACGCTACATTAGGTACATTATTTAGTTCTTGACCAAAATGGTTTCGGAGTTGAATTGAAAAACCTTTGGGATTTAGTAGCAATAATGAAAAACCCTTTTGATTTTCTAAAATAGTAAAAGGGTTTATATATATTAACCCTTTAGGTTTGGTAACCAAAATGGAATACATGGAATACCTTTAGGATTTTGTGACATTGAACCCTTTATTTTCTTAAAACACTTTCCTAAAAAGTATTTTAAAAAACCAAACCGGTTTAGTAACGGTACAAAACCCTCAAATGGTTTCTTAAATGTGCTACTATCCCCTTTTGGGTTTAGAGACAGGAATAAAAAACTGTTAGGGTTTTTTAAACTGCCTATTTTTTCTAGAGAGTATATCAGATTTACTTTTATTTTTCGTTGTGTATGATAAAACGGTTGGGAATAAATTCATTACGGTCGCTGTGCAAAAAAGAACATCAGTAGACTTTTCACGTTGAGAAGAAAAGAAAAAAACTCTTGCAACGCACATAAGAGAAAATTTTCCTTTTAAAGGACAAATAAAAAATAGAAATAAAGAATGACTATTTTATCTTTCAATGTTGTCAAGGTGTACAAAGACATTGTGAAACACTGAAATAAAAAATAATGAAAATCTATCTTTCAACATCATACATCTGTTGGCTGTTTTAGTAATGTGTGGCATCGGAAACTTTTCTTTTTACATTACTTAATGATCACCCTATGTAATAGCAAAAATTAATATCCAAAACGAAGAACAAGATAAATTTAAAGAAAATTTGTTTTTTGCTTGGAAGTAAGTTCAAATTTATTAAACTGTTTGAAAAGAAAAATCGGAGGATTTTTTTTCATTGAGAAAAAACAGTACCAGTGATATTACTCATTCTATTTGTTCGAGCTATAAACGTAACAGTGAGTTGCATTGGAGAGACAAGATAAAAATGATAAAGATCTAAACAGGGCAATTGACGATTATTAAACGATAGTATTTTGCATAGCAACAACATGTCTACTCTATCGTTTAGTCTCATGTCGAAAAGTTGGAATGAGCTCGTTGCTGATTACAATGGAAAAAAACTTTTGCAGTCACGTACATGTAAAGTGTTCAAATACCGCACCTGTCGTCGTGTGAATGTTGAAGTATGTGGTTGCAATCGACTTGTACGTGAACATAGTTTCGATGATGATACAGCTGAAGTACAAACACGAAAACAATTAGATGAATTGTTGAAAAAAAAATGGAATGAGAATAGTCACACATCAAAAGTCCCACTATCCGTTTATGGTGTTCTACCAAATAAATCTAAGGTAAATCCTCATCTTTCGGTATTCAGTCACAATCACATTTTCTTTTCAGTTTTTGCGATGTGATAATCAATCAAAACTTGAAAATGTGTACAAATTACTCGTGGAAGACTGCCATCGACCAAATTTGATAATGAGTGTTTACGGTGGAGCCAAATATTTTCAGTTAAATGAACGTCTAGAAAAAAAGTTTATGGAAGGGATTGTTCAAGTGGCAACAGTGGCAGGTAGCTAGGTAGTTTCGGGGCTGTACTGAATTCTCGGCACTAGATCCAACAACAATAATTCATTTAAGAAAAGAAAAGAAGTGGTATATAGCTCGAATTGAACAGTTTTAGCACACAGACCGATCCAGACAAAATCTCACGCGCTTCCTATCTGTTTTCCATTAGGATTTTAACATCTAGAACTTTCTGATAACTTCCTAGCAAGATCCTAGATGTTAGGATCCTGCTCGGATTTCGCTTGTTCTTGTTTATGTTTATTGTAAATCGAGCAAATCCTACGACTGTCAGGTACTTCTAATTTAATTAGAATTCTATCCACTGTGCTAAGATCCCCGAAACCCTAAGCGAACTTCTAGTACAATGCTGGTAAGCCATGTCTAGCACCCTGTCATGAGAATTATAGGTCAATTACTTGAGTATTGTTTAAGAGGCAAAAATGAGTTGAGCGACAGGAAATAAACGAAACTAATGAATAAAAGAAAGAAAGAAAATATTTTCAACAAATGGCAGTAAGAAAAACGACAAACAGATTAGTGCACTGAATTAAAAAAGAAACAGAAGAACAAAGACGAATAAACACTCAGAATAAATGGTGCTATAGATTTATTTTACTTGTAAAAGCTCTAACTCAAGGATGAAACTTCAAAGCGATGGAGAGTGTACTATATTCCAAAACAAAATAAACAGCTTGCAGTAATTGTTTACGAGATCTACGATAGTTTCCACAAGACAAGAGAAAATCTCTAATCGTTTTTTCCGCGGTTACAAACAAACAATTAGGAAAGGTCAATATTTATCTGTAAGAATCCAATCAAAGTAAACATGCAAGGTTGATTGCGCCGAGTGTTCAAGAAAGTTCGATGGTACTAGTTAGTTAACTTACATCAACATCATATTGAAGTGTAAATCTACAATTCATTCTTTATGACAACAATTGTTTCGCAACATCAAACTGT